TCGTGGCCCTTCAGGCCACACTTGCAGCAGGCAGCCTCATTGGGGCCGTCCTTGGCAAGGTGAGCCGATTTCCCAATCGCGCAGCAGTGGTAGCACATGACCTTGCGATGGCGGATTTCTGGCTTCAGGAGACGCCAGCCAACCTTGATGCCGGCACTAAGAAGATCTTCCAGACCGTCCCTGCGCACTCTGACAAAGGCGTTCAGGCCCTTCTTGTAGACCGCCGTACAGCAGTCGCCTACCGCATCGCGTAGCTCCTCTTCACTGATATCACCAACGTCTCTGATGAAGAGCTCGGGGTCAATTGCACCGAGAACCTTGGTCTGGTAACCCAAAAGGCTCGCGGCCTCCTTGGCCCGAGCCTTATCAGCATCCGAGACACGTGCGCCAAGCCTACCGTCTTTGGCAAAGAAGCTATCAGTTATAACAACCCCACCTTTAGCACCGACCTTGTCAGCGACCTTGATGCGGTATTCGGTACTTTTATCCGACTGATCAATGTCGCCGCCGGTGATCCAGATGAGAGCTCCCTCTTTGGGCGAGTTGTTGTGGTTGTCGCCTATCCTGGGTAAGTTGTGACCGTCAGACGGAAGGGGGCGGGCCGGGTTGGATTTGCTCTTGGAGAGCTCATCCTTCAGAGCAGAATGGTCTTCCAGAAGACCAATCAGCCTAGATTGAGCCTTGACTAGACCCTCCTGGGCGCTAGTGTATAGATAGTGCAGATTTTCCAACAGATCGCGAACCTCGGACTTCTTGGCGGCACCCATATTGGAGGTGTGACATACCCCTAGGATGCTGTGCCTGATGTCCGCAAAGCCCGGAGCGCTGCAATGCTGTCCGTCCGTGGCCGTGGAAGTGGAAGCGCTAGACATTTTCGTTATTAGGGAGAACGAAACAGTTACTAGAACGAAAACAGTTACTAGAACGAAAACAGTTACTGGGAAAACAGTTACGCGCTCGCCCCAAAATTAACAAACTTCCCCTCCTTCCCACATTGAATGTGGGGTGGTCGCACATTCTTCCTGGGAAGCTTCCCATGTTTTACGGGAAGGAAAGAATGGAATGATTCTTCCCATTTTTCAACCACCCTGCGGGAACCTGCTCCACTAGTCTCGACGTCGTACGTCAAGCGCCGGCTCAAAGCCCAGATGGAAGCCGACGCTAAGTCCTGGTGGCTCGATAGACGATCCACCCTCGGCACAAGTGTCCAAGACTTCCTCTGCGGTTTCACCCACGCAAGAAGATTTCTGAAGGCCGGTAAGCCATCGCTGGGGCTCTCCGCTTTAATTACAGGTCAGGCCCCGACTCCACACCATTGTCATATGATGGGGCTGCGAGCGGACCCGAGCTGCCCATGTAGGCACGCGGATGGAGATGTCAAGCACTTTCTCTGAGGCTGCCCTCTGCTGGACCGTACAAGACGAGACTCCAAGCTGATCCAAGCGATGCTCAAGTACAACTACAATTTAGTCCTTGACCGACGGTATCGAGCGCCCCTGTTGAAAATGGCGAAGTTGACCGTCGAGTGTCTACTACTACCATAACCACTAACACCACTATTCCCAGTGACCAAGGCCTACGATTGCGGGGAAGTCCAAGGCAGGGCAACATAGCGGCACCCTAGGAAAGGGGTCAGTATTGGTAAGAACTGTGGAAGACTGTTTCGCCGCGAGACTCTCGCGTGTGCATATGGTGAGGTTCTCCGGTCTTTGAAGCTCTGCGCCGCAGAGTCTGCGGCGAGTTGTCTCCTGGCCTCTGACCCAAAGCTCGGCTCCCTAAGGCCGGATCGTGCTGGTGGAGCGGCAAACTCTATACCGAATCGCCCTGGCATACCCCCCGGGATGTCTCTTTGAGCCAGACGATGGGGGCGGGTGGGTTGGTCGAATGCCCCCCCCCCCCACGGTCACATAGCTCGACAACAGGGACCACCAAGGCTGGTCCTGGACCTCGAGTTGGCTTCGTAATCCGTGAAACACCCTGCTGTTAGCCTGCCGAACCCAAGCGACTAATGCGGAGGCCAGCTGAAGAAGCCAGACCGCTTTAGGCCTAGGTCCAGTTCGCTGAATAAGACAGGATCTGTCTTATCCAGCAGAACCTGCTGAATCTTAATCTGTCTAACAGATTAAGATTATTTGTTGTTTGGCATGACTGGGTGTATCATGTTCTGTGATAGATCGGTTCCAAAAAACTGAGCTCAGAATCTTACAAAGCTCACCCATTGTGGAGTTTAGTGGTGAAACGGCCCTGCTGAAATGGCTGGATCTCGCTCGCCGACTCTTTGTATTAGTATTACACAAATTTCATGCAGTTGATGAAGTGAAACTTCGTCGAGGATTTGGGGTTACGGAGCAGAGTAAGTTATCCGATATAATAATATATAGATTACACCTCAGACTTTCTGTGATGCCGTTGTATCTATGCTCAATGGTGGCAGAAGTCGAAACCTTAACATCGCTCTCGCAGGACCTTCAGTCTGTGGCAAGACGTTCCCAGCTAAACATCTAAGTGATATCTACCGTGTAGCCGAGTTCTGCCAGCTATCCTCTAGCGGTCCTGATCGAGAACCGGTTAGAAGTCATCGTCATTGACGACTTTCGGGTGTAACCAAACCAAACAGGTTTCGGCATCTCGGACGGCCTGTGCTTACTGGAGGGAAAAGTGCCACTTGTTGTGCCAGTACCAAAAACGAGCAGTAAGGCCGACGGGATCCACTGGGATGATGCGCCAATTATGGTAACTGTCCCTGGTTCTTTCTTGTGCCGTCACTGGTCACATGAGGAGCATAGAAATAAACGGTTTCGATGGTTTCAATTTGATTGCCCTTTGCCGAGGGAGAGCAGGAGGGATCTACCCGCTTGTGGTCGTTGTTTCGCTATATTTATTTCATCCAACACGACTCTATCCTGAAATATTGAACCATCGACTCCTAGAGGCTCTCTGTCATCTATAGGAGACTCCTTCCTTGCTAGTCTCTTGTCCTGTGTTCAGGGAGCGAAACACGCCTCATTGTAGTTCGTAAGTTATTTTCCCTTGATATGTCAAGTTGACATTGTCAACAGCATCGTCCAAGAATCCCGCTCACGCGAAATCGCCCACTGCAGTCAAACGCAAAAGTAGTGTGGTTGGGGAACTCAGCTGGTGCGCTACTGTTAGTAGCTGCCTCCTCCCTCCCCCTCCCCAATGTTGGGTGCACATGAGAATATTGTGAGACCTCATGCTCTGATCTGAAGGGGAGGGGTAGGGGGGCGACTCGGTGAGTCAAGAGTTTTGATTTTGCCTGGCGTTTGGCGAGAAAGAAAATAAACTCGAGGCACGGCCTCGCTAACTATATCTGATATAGTTTGATATAGACTATAGAGTCTATATCACACGGAGTCAAGAGTCTGATATAGTATATCAGCAGTCCAGTTTATCATAAACTGCTACATACCCTTTGAGGGGTTCACTTAACGCATACCTTATACA